TGATGTGATCAGAAGCACCAGTATCTAATATCCAATCAGATGATGTTTTAAGTTGCTGCCCTTCAGTAGGATTGGAACATAGAAATTTACCTGAAGAGGAAGAGTTGGAAACATAAGCAGCAGCAGAAAAAGCAGAACCCTGGTGGTTGTTCATCAAAGACATTAACTTGTCATAATATGCCTTTGTGAGCTTGACCTATTGGTCTTTGGATTCAGTTGCAACAGAATTGACAGATGCTCTTGGTCTGGCAGAGGTACTTCTGGCTGCAATATAAGGAGGAAGGCCATGTTTCTGGAAACATCTGTCTTCAGTGTGTCCAGACCTCTTACAATAAGTACATTCAAGAGAGCGAGGCTGTGACAGATTTGTTCTTTGAGTTAGACCAGGGGGCCAACCATGGATATGGTAGCATATGTCCTGAGTATGGCCTTCCTTTTTGCAATGTGTGCAAAAATGTCTCTTAGTGGAAGTAGGAAACCTCCTGTTAGCACCTTGAACAACCATAGCCATAGGTTCAGTGATGGCAGAGGCCACCATTTTACCTTTTTGAGTGCCATAGAGCTGTCTTTCGTGCTGTAAAAGTCTTTGAAACACACGATTCATAGTAGGCAATTCTTCACCAAAGAGAACTTGAGCACGAACAGCAGCAAAGTTTTCATTTAAAACTCTGAGAAACTTGATAACATAATTTGTATCATGATATTCTGAAACCTTCTTCATTGCTCGACAAGTTAAGTGGCTTGTGGGGGTGCAATCACAAGGGAGAAGTGGCTGATAGTTGTCGAGCTCATCAATGAGTGTAATGACATTGCCATAGTATTCAGTAATAGTCTGGTCACCTTGATGAAGAGTGGAAAGAGCCTCTTCTAACTCAGCAACACGAATGATATCACCAGATCCATACCTGGACTGTAAACTTCTCCAAGCATCTGCTGCTATTTTGCAGGAAAGGATTGTTTTTCTGATCTCAGAATCGACTACCTGTTGGATCCAGCTGAGTATCATGATGTTGTTCCTAACCCAGGCACCATGAAGTGGATCTGCAGGATCTGGCTCTGTGAGAACACCATTGATGAAACCAAGCTTGTTCTTGGCAGTAAGAGCATTGTACATTCTCGAATCCAATCGTTGTAGTTGATGGTTGTGAGTTTCTCAACAACCAAAAGCAAGCCAGGTTGCTCAGAACCGTGTAAAAAGAATGGATCTTCCATTTGGTAGATGTTGTGAGGCTATGGATTTGGTAATGGTGGTTGATTTTGTTGTTGTGGATCTGGTTGCTCATCGTTTTGAGCATTTTGATCCATGGCGGCGGCTGTGATAAGAGAGCTAGGTCAGAGGCTTTGATACCATAACAACGATTGAAACCCTAAGGCTTGAGTTTCTCATTGATTCAGTGTTGGTTTATATATTACAGACTTGCATAAGAAAACAACAAAGCAAACCAGGTACAATTTGTTGGTTTGCTTGAAACAGAAACAAAAGCAGGCTTGTGAATAAAGCAAACGTGAACTGGAAAAGGAAGGAAAGGGAACGACAGCATTTCTTCAATACGCAGCGCACCATCAAGCTGTTCCTCGATACGCAGCGCAACATCAATTGGAAATCAATCTTCTTCCTCGTTGGCGGGTAGAGGAGCAACGGTCACATTGAAATCAAAAGGGGATTTGAAACCCTTTGTTGTTACTTTCTACTCTTGTTTACTCACTTTGAAATTCACTCGCCAATTAATAAAGCAACCTTACTGATGATTCGTATTTACCAAAACCAGATAAACAACGTTTTCACACACCTCTCACAATTCACACGAATAACTTGCAAATCTCTCCTGGTTACAACTTGCACTTGTATTCTGAGGTAAATGTCACATTTGGTCACTGAGATTATTAAATCGTGTCATGTTTAGTTACTAGAAAAAATTAATATCAATTTTGGTCACTCGAATTATTGAAACATGTCACATTTAATCACTCTCCTTTAGCCTCCGTCCAACTCCGTTAATAAATCCTGTTATGTGCTGACATGACTTACGAGAGCGCCTAGTCATCTCCATTTTGAACCGTAATGGTCAAACCCGACCCACCACGTCACTAAGCCCGCCATGTCATAAAATCAAACCCAAGCCCACTTAGTGTATCCTCCGCTACATCCATTCCTTGGACCTCCGCAACTCCTTCTACCTCTTCGTCCCTTCTCTGCAGCGTTTCACTCCAAGGTACTCTCTTCTTTGATCTGCTTGATCCTCCATTCTCCTTCTTTGTGTTGTTTTGGATGTCAAGTTTCTAATCTCTTTAATTCAATTTCCATTTCCTAGGCGGACTTGAGATGGAGAATCAAGTGCATGACTTCCCCCGACACCAAACCTGATACCCAAGTCCCCGCTTCTTCATCTCCCGCTTCCCCGGGCCTGTCATCGTACAATTGGTCTGCCGCTCTTGAAGGCTTAGGGTTCGTTGAAACTACCTACTTGACTTACGTTACGCTCACTAATAATACCGCTTTTTGCCCCCTCGGCGGTGGCATTGCTGGCGACCCCGACGGCTGTACCGACATCCTTGGAAGTGATTAATCCCTTGTGAAGGAAATCACAAGTTAAAAAGGAAGGATAAGGAGGGAAAGATATTAGAGATACTATGTATCAGAATGTAATAAGTATAAACTTATGTAGGTAGAATGTAATTAGGATAGGTACTATAATGTAAATTAGATAGGTTAGTTAGAGACTCGTAACTACTTTAATCTTCTCTAGCAGACAGAGTATAAAACCAGTGACTTAAGCTGGATAATGTAAGTTTCGTTTTCTCATTCTCAAGCAATAAAGAAGAATTCATCAGAAATCTGACATGGTATCAGAGCACTATTGAGCGTTTTCCGTCTCTCTTTCTCGCTTCCGCCTCTCTTCTCCTTTTCTTCTGCTTTCCGTGATTCATCGTCCTCCTATGGCGATTCACGATTCTTTCTCTTCCGGCGACGACGCCGTGGCTGCAAATCCTCACACTGGAGGTCGCCAGAGCAATTACGGCGTGATTCTTTACAAAGGAGTTCCAATTTCCGATCCAGCTTCTCCATTCTTCATTCATCCATCGGAGAATTGGGGACAATGTCTCGTTTCTCAGCCGCTCAACGAGAACAACTTCTCCAGCTGGGAAAGATCGATGGTCTTGGTTATTGATGGCAAGAACAAGTTAGGGTTCCTGAATGGCAAAATCCCGCAGCCGACTGACGATTCTCCTTTGCTCGAGCCTTGGAATCGCAACAACAAATTGCTCCTCAGCTGGATTCAGCGTTCGGTTAATCCAACTATCGCTGAAAGCATCTTTTATGTTACCACCGCCATTGGAGCGTGGACTGAGCTAGGTGAGCAATTCTCTCAAGGAGATTCTTTCCGCATCGCTGATCTTCAAGAAGCGATCTTCAACCTCAAACAAGGTACAATGAGCGTCTCTCAGTATTATTCTAAGCAGAGAGCACTTTGGGATCAGTTAGCCAATTATAGGTTCATTCCTGATTGTGATTGCGGCATTACTTGTCATTGTGTTCTGGCCTCTTTGCGAAAGGACTACATGAATGACAAGGTGATTCGTTTCTTGCCCAATCTGAATGACAGTTTCAATGGTCCTAAATCTACTGTTATGCTCTTAGAGCCTTTGCCACCTATCAACAAAGTATTTGCAATGATGGTGCAACATGAGAGGGAGAATGGTCTGTTGCTTAAACCCCAGTCTGCTCCCAACCCAGCTTCGGACAGTATGGCCTTCTTTACTAAGGCATCAGGGTCACACCTGGGAATTCAGGGTACTGGTCAAGGTTTCAAGAAACAGGCAAAGAAACCTATTTGCACATTCTGTGGTTACACTAGCCATACAGAAGACGTGTGTTACAAAAAGAATGGCTACCCGCCTGGATATCAGTCTAAAAAGAGGCAGCAGCAGAATCCCAGGCAGGCAAACAGTGTTTCAACTGATGTTGTTTCATCCTCTAATGGTGCTATTATGATCAATCAATTAGATTGGCAGAGTTTTCAGCAACAGTATCAGAAAATGTTGAGCTTTATGAATCCAACAGTTTAGCAGATCAATCAAGCTCCTTCTCAGAATCAGTTTCCTCCTCAGCAGAATCAGTTTTTTTGCTCAGCGGCACTACCTTCCAGCTCCAGCTGCGTATGCTGATGCCTACAAGGTTAACAATCCTTCTCACTACTCAGCTTCAAACGAGAGTGAAGGTTATGGTCAGCATAACATTGTCAGCAGAGCTAACTCTGTTGCTTCTCATGCTTATGAAGTCCCTGACAACACAGGTACACTTCACTATGCTTTTACTGTTAATTGCTCCATTCAACATAAATGGATCCTGGATACAGTAGCAACAGATCACATAATCTGTTCTCCTGTTCATTTTTTGCACTCTAAACCAGTTTCTAATGTTTATGTCCACATGCCTAATGGTAGTAAAGTGGCTGTAACTGCTATAGGTGTAGTCCAATACTCAGAACACCTCACTCTGACTGATGTTTTGTTAGTTCCTTCCTTTAGCTTCAATCTGGTGTCTGTAAGTAAACTGGTCAGAAGCACAACCATATGCTTATGGTTTCACTATTCCTTGTGCTTCATACAGGCTTGCCCCAGTTTGACAATGATTGGAACAGCTAGTCTGATTGATGGTCTTTACCTCCTCCATCATCCTTCTCAGACCAAACAACTTCAACACAATCTTCAGCTCAACACCAATCCTTCCAGACCTTCTGCTTATCCTTCCAAAATTGCATATTCTTCCTCTAAACCTAGTATAGATATCTGGCATTATCGCCTTGGTCATGTGCCTGATTGTAAACTCTCACATTTTAAAACCATTGATAGTTCTATCTCTTCACTGTCTGGTTTTCATTGTACTGTCTGCCCTATGGCAAAACAGAAACGACTTCCTTTTGCTGATAAGTATAAACTTATGTAGGTAGAATGTAATTAGGATAGGTACTATAATGTAAATTAGATAGGTTAGTTAGAGACTCGTAACTACTTTACTCTTCTCTAGCAGACAGAGTATAAAACCAGTGACTTAAGCTGGAGAATGTAAGTTCGTTTTCTCATTCTCAAGCAATAAAGAAGAATTCATCAGAAATCTGACAAAAGATGCCAAAGACAGAGAGAGAGGCAGTCACAGAGACAGCATAAGTACCATCCACCAATTGATCTTCCAGTCAGAAATCCGAAGTAGATGCAGGGGATGTAAACAGAGACTCATAAAAAGGATCGTAGTCCACAGTAACAGAGCATCTGTTCTTGACAGTGCCTTTGAGGATACCATCGGCCAATTGATCTTCGACCAGCCTGGCAAACGCCCACTTCAATTGCTTAGCTCCGCAACCACAATTGTAACCTACTGATATCACACTGTTCTTCAACTCCTCTGTCACCTCCAATTTGATCGACTTCGAATACTTCATTTTGTCCACTAGTTCCTTCACCATAGCGTCGACCATCATCATCAGATCCTCTTTTGTCAGCATCTTGAACAGCACTATCTCGTCGATTCGATACAACAACTGCGCCCTGAAAATTTCGGACAGGTTCTTGGAGATCCCCTGCCTTACCTGCGAGTCGTGGCGATTTAGGCGAGGTTGGGCGACATTGGAAGTCATGATGATGATGGTGTCTCGGAAATCAAAATTATGTGGTGGAACATTGCGAAAACTACACTTCAGCCCAACATGATGCTTGGGGAATTCTCCATCGTCGATGATTTGGAGAAGGGACCTGGCGATGGCAGGGGACGCCTTGTCGATTTCGCAGAACAGGATGACTGCGCGGTCAGTATCTGATTCTGTGACAGGGTAGAGAAAGTGTTTCTCCATGTGCTCTCCCATGTCGATACGGACCAGTGAACGTTTCGATCCGTAGAACTCGATGGCTATGGCTTCGGCGAGCTTTTTTTTCCCGACGCCGGAAGGACCGTGGAAGAGGAAGCTTGCAAGGGGGCGGGTCGTGTTTCTTGCGCCGGTTTGGGAACGGCGGATTGCTTGGCTGACATGGCTGACTGCTGCGTCTTGTCCGACGACTCGGCCTTTCAGCCTCTGCTCCAAGTTATCCACACGCATGATTGACATCTCAGTGTGAGGCTTTTGCCTGTATGTAGCTGTTGTAGGAGTCCTTAGCTTCTCCGGTATTGCTTTATATAGCCTGCTGCCGTAAGAGAGATTACGAGCCCCGATCATCGGAAACAGAGCTCCGGGCTAAATTGAAAGTAAAAACACATTTAATTCTAGCGGAGGAGTAGTTGCCGGCAGTAATTTATTTAATAGCAGCAGCATTTCCCAAGTGTGTCTTCTCGTCTTCAGCCAATGCTTTTGTACCATTTTCTTGAGACGATTGGCATGCTTTTGTAGATGTGGTCGCCGGAGTAGCGTGAAGCGTCTCGTCTCCATTTTATATACCGTCATTAATAGATCGGGAAAGTGGAAAGTGTAAGGAAATGGTTAAATATCATATACGTGCTGATATAAGATCTAGTATAATTTTTTTCTAGTAATTTGAGTTATTAGAACCAATTGGTTTATAAGAGAAGGAGCATAAGGGTTCACCTAATTTTTTGGAATACTGATTTGAAATTTTAAAGCTCACTTTGCTTTATTTGTGTCCTGGGCAAATGTTATTTTCAGTGTTATTAAAGTCGAGCCGAGCCGCTCGGCCCGATCGGTAAAACCGCCATCTGATCACAAAACCGGTCGGAACAGTCTAAAATTCGCTCCGGTTTTATGTAGTGGTTGGCGAGCGGTCGAAGTGTTAACCGCTCGAGCCGATCGAGCCGCTCGTCTGGTTTTTGCCATTCAGCCTTTAAATTTAATTAAAAAAATTGCAGAATATTGAAAATTGAAATAAACCAACAACGTCGGACTCTCAAACTGAATTCTTATTTCCATTTCACAATTTCGAAGGAAAAGGATGAGCTCTAATTAAGAAATGTCCACTATTTATACTGATAATGTTTATTAGGTACCGGTTCTTTAACGATTTTTAAACGATCTATTGTCGGTTGGACTACTAAAGTACGAGCCGTTCGCATTATCAGGTCATGCTGCGACTCGGTTCTGACTTTCACCTCTTCAAAAGCAACGGACTCGAACATAAATTGAGAAATGGACTTTGCTTCCTCCGTTCCTCGAGTGGCCGGCTCGTTATTGAGGCTTAGACGGGCTTTTTCTGGGCAAATAGTAACTCTTCGACCGAAGGCCCAAGAGTTTTTGCTGCCATCTTGAGCTCGATCCGATTAGTTTCATTAGGGAGCCCGGAAGTAAATACTAGATGGCCCAAATGCAAAACAATCAGATTATGGATGAGTGGCAGACTGGCACTCTGGCAGTGGGGCGAGTTAGACTAAAGCGTGACAACAAACTTCAAATCTATAAATTAACTTTTCATTAAATATGTAAGAAAATTATATAATAATAATTTTTTAAATGTCTATCAACAACTCGAATTACTAAAATTACTCGGTTCTTGACAAGATATGGTAAACATAATTGCATGCAAGATTGTGCAAGCATCCGAAGCCAGATGATAAACCTGTACAAAAGTTCGGACTCCTAACACCCCTGAAACTAGGCAACTTGAAACTACTGCAATTAGAGCCTCTTTTCAAAAGTTGTTCAACATATAAGAATCTGGTTGAACCCATTAAGGCAACCACACCCTCACTTGCCCTTCCCTACATAAAAGCAAGGGAACAAAGGCTAAAAAAGAAGATCATACATAGGACATTACTTTGCAAACAGAGGGACAAAACTTTGTGGCAAAGTAAAAAATAAGTGTCTGCCCCAAATTGATTCTGGTTCACATCATGTTGGAAATGAGATACTAATTTTCTTGCAGGAAATTCTCCAAGGCAATAAACATGACATTGCGGAAAGAAGGAGGAATCACACACCAGTGACACCACAAATATACAAAAGGGTATAGAAAGTATAGTCAAATGCGTGAATAGGTAAAGAACCAAAAGAAAAGGCAAATTATAAGAGAAAATTGGAACATACAAACCACAACGTGAGAAATTGTAACCGATAAGGTTGTCCATTACCATTAGGTTGGGATATGATATTGATATGGTCTCATAAAGATTAGATTATATATACGGGTAAGGAACATATTGATGGGCTAAAACACATGATTAGGAACTAGACTAAACGTTATATGGTCCATACCAGATCACATATGTACAATATGGTCTTATCCATGTAAATTATGTTGATTAGGAAATCATCAATGTTTCGATCCATGAGACAGAAAACATGACCAAGAGCTAGGGAAATTTTTATTTTTACCTTGAAACCTACATTTCTAGCATGCAAATATAATTTTGATAACCTAACTCCTCAAATAAAATAACAAATATACAGAATCACAATTCATACAATATATATATATATATATACCAAATCACAACAACGTTTGACTTCCTGCAGAGAAGAGAGATGGTGAGTTATGTATTGATTAAAATCACATCACACAATCAAATTTTCTTGTAATGATATGATTTTTCTAAGTTCCGAAATAATTAATTTGAGAGATCAAGACATAAAAGACATAAATTTTAATAAGAACAAACCTCATATATGATATGTGGTTTGATTCGAATTATATATTTTGACATGGTCCACTTTTTCGGCCTATACACCATAATTATTTGCTCATATATATTTATCGAATATAGTGGACTAAGGAGGCTTGGTTGAGGAAGATCACGCTACCTCCCGGGTCGTGCTCTTAGAAGTATCGTCCGGCCAAAGTTCGTCTTTCAGATTCCGCATCAAGATCCGGACGATCTACATCGTGAAATCAGGTAACTCTATCAACCTTTGATATTCTGACAAGATGATGGATTCCGGGGAATTACATAGGCTAAAGTTTAATTCCATCAAGTGGTATCAGAGCCATTCATCTTTGTTGGATTGTTGGGGTTTTCGGATATACCTATGTTTATATATGTGATTCTTGCTGTTTGCATTCTTTTTGAAATTTCTGGGTGCATATTCATTTAGAATATCTGTGTGTGTATGGGTTCTTATGAATTAGTTGAACTCTTTATTTAGACCATTGGGGTTTACTCGAATAAGTTATAAGCATGATTATGGTTTCATTCTTCATTTTAATTTTCTGGACACTTTCATGCATGTGGTTCGGGCATGATTGTCAGAAAATAGAATATATGCATGCTACTATTCAATAGAATTCCAAATGCAGTATTGGAGCCTTATTTAATTAATTGTATCCCTAATATTCTCGGTGCGTAATACCTTGATCATGCTACTGTGATCGTTTTGATTATTATCAATCCTTTTGTTGCTGGGAATTTCCATCCACCGGCGTTCGTTGTTTTTTTACTTCCGAACGTTTCTCTTTCCCTACCGTAAAGACGTTGGTGGCGATTACAGCTTTATGGCGAGTTATTGTTATAATTATTGTTATCATCACGGTTACGGAAGAAGGATTAATTAATACTTAATTTTTGTGGCATTCGGTTACAGTTGTGGGAAATTGATAGGGATTACAATTTCTCACCGTAAGGTTTCATAGCCACGTTACGGTTATATGGGCAATTTAATAATTAATTAATCATGCAGTTATGTATAAAAAAAAAAAGAAAAAAAATAAATAATTAATCATTGAGGTCTTTCGGTTGCAGAATAGCCATTCGGTTTTTGGTTTTGTTTGAATAATAATACAAGTTATTATTTTCTCAGGCTACGGAATTACGGATGGAAAAAGAGACCGAAAGGATTAATTTTTTTTTTTAACCGGTTGTGGAAGTGGTTAAATCTTCCTGTTGATTTAATATTGTTATTATTAATATAGTTGATTCCCTTTCAGTTAAGGAGTCTTGTTTTGCTTCTAATGAAGTCCCAGCCAACGGTTACAAAAATTCACCCTTTCTATTGCAATTAATTAATTATCCGATTTCACTGGTTAATCAATTACTATACTCATTTAGACTTTACGCAATTAAGGGAATAATTAATATCTATTTTCCGCTTAAGGAGTTCGTTTCTTTCATTATAATAATTATAGTCATCACTTTATGGATGCTCGCCATTTTAGCTTCGATTATAATAGAGATTATTATTTACTCTGGCAACGTTTATCCCATAAAGGGTTAAATGTTTAGTAATTATCTTGATGTTGTATTTGATAATTCAATAACAATTATTATGTTCGGTTTTATTATTTGGACATATAATGGGTGGTTATTTACGCATATAGTGTTCGGACAAAATGTGGATACTATTTGGTCAAATAACGATACATTTTAATGATAAATATGTGATGACTATCAAGTTATTTTTCCATGTGAATAGTAGTTGGTACAAAGACAAACTATTATTTGACAGGACTTGTCGTCAATATTTTATCTTACTTTATGGTCGTTGTATCATTAAAATGCATTTTGTAGTTATTTTGAGCATTTCATGCCTTGTAATTTATTTTGTAAACAAGACTAGTTTATGAGGAATATAAGCCTCATTTCAGTAAACCAAAATTTGGGGTCGGTTTGAACATTTTAAATCCTTATATGGTAAAGGTTTACATTTTAGCGCGTGCAAATTATGTATTCACTAGCCCGAAGGTAGGTGAATATTTAAGGTTCCATATGTGCGCATAGAGTAATAAATATGTGATGATTATTCGGTTAGCATGTGAATTTTAAATCGGCCCAAAGGTGGATTTACTATTTCATATGTTCTTATCATCAATATTTAACTACTCGATCATAAGACATTACTTACAAGTTAATATTTTGTCCAAAGACAAATATTAATGGAGTGCATTGTGTCTTGAGATGGAGTAAACCGTTATTTGAAATTATTATTGTAATTCTCTCTTAAGGATAATTAATCACTTATGTGGAATTCTGTGATTATGAGAGAATTGTCCAGTATTTTAATTAAATTAATTTTAGCAGTATGTTGCCAAAGTAACCTATACTTGCGAAAAATTATTTAACTTAGAATTCATGGATGTACGTGTAAGGTTATTTTATGTGGGTAGTGCTCGACCCAAAGGACGACATTATTTGACCAAAATAATCAAGCACATTAATGGTAAATACGTGATAATTATAAAGTTGTTGTTCATGTGAATAACAGTCAGTCCAAAGATAGACTGTTGTTTGACAGAACTTATTATCAGTATTTGATCATTGTATTAAGAGTACCGCTCGCAGTTAATTTCTCTGTCCAAAGACTAAGAATTAATGTTGCATTTGGTATCTTATGATGGGTCCCCAAAATTGGATAAAGTTCTTGTCTTGTTTAATTACATGGCTGATGTGTGTTTTCTTTTATCTCAATATAGTTTTTCGTGCTTTGGTTTAAATATTTCTGTCAAAATTAAAGTTAACTCTTCTGTTAAATGGGATGAATCTAAAGAATTTAAAGTAAATTCAAGACAATTATTCTCGATATATAGGCATTGATCTTGCGCTTTTATGTGGAACAATCCCTATTCTACTTCGGAAAATCTCAATGAGATTTAATAATAGCGAATAGAGAGATATCCAGTTCAGTGTGCATGATGATCATTAAGCGCTCTATTCGATGAATAATTATGGGGCTATTATACTAAGATGCCTCTGAGGTTTATTGAAGTAATAATACAGTATTTTGCCAAAAAATAACAGGATCTGGGGTTAGCTGCCTATTTGGGTAATTTAATCCATAGTGTAAAGGCAAAATGTACAAGTGTATTATATTTTGGAGGTGTCAAAAGAGATACTCAACTTGGTTTAATTTATCTTCCTCCATGAAGTTTTAGGTGAGTACTAATATTCACAAAAGAAGAGGAGGGAAGATACGAGATGAGACTGAACTCAATCACTAAACCTCAAATTCTCAGTAAAGGAACAAATAGAGAGTTAAGGATGTTATGGTTTCGTTGAACTCTTAAGGACATGGTGAGGAGTATTTCTACTTACTAGACTCCATTTGGATAAAAGCCATAAAGGTTACAACGTACATCCTTAAATTGAGTATCCAGAAGGTAGTTAATGTAACCAAGAAGTGCAATAAGGACTTTGCACATTTAGGGTTGTCCAACTTAGGAAATACCTTGTAAGGTACAAGAAGGTATAATGGACAAAAGAATTAACTTATACATTGTTGGCTACTCAATAGTACTCTCGAGACTAAAAGTTTTATAATCCCACCTCAAGAAGTTTTTTCATGAGAAATAGAAATTTCTTGAGTATATTGAGTTTGGGGGGAAGGAACCATATGGAAATGTTGTTACTACACAAACTCAACAAACTCAAGAAATGCCATCAATTAGGATATCCACAAAGCAGTTGTATCTTCTTTGAACATAAGGATGACGTCAGGTTGACTAATGATCAGGTTCATAATAGTCTAGTCATGCACAGTTCTAGTTATGAAAAGTGGACTGATGTCATGTGGTGAAGTCAATGAGAGATATAAGGCATGTTGGTCTCTAAGGCTTTACTAATAAGGAAAGCGGTTGACTCAAAGAGACTTTCTCTCTGGTATATTTGAAAGACTCCTTAAGGAATATAATGACAATGGTGGCTCATATAAACATCTCATTGTTGATATCACAATGATTCTCATGTTATTAGCTCATCAGATTTAGAGACTAATGTTGGAGATGATTGTGTATATCTTAAGTTTAGTGGGAGTAAATTTATTTTCCTGTTTTATAAATCATGGTTGTTCTACTTAAGGTGCAAGTAGAATAAGTTAGTAAACCAGGATATATGTTGTAGCTAAGGCAGACTGTTTTGGTCAGTGCCCCAATTATATTTAAGAAATTAAGATACAAAATCTCTTGAATGCATATTTGCATTAAAGATCTAATGTATACTTTAGTTTATTCTCATCCCAATAAAGCATTTCTAGTAAGAGTCTTTGGAAGATATTTGTTTGGTCTATGCATGAAACACTAGAAGGATTCAAACGTGTAACGCGTTTACTAAAGTTGATAAAAGAATTCATGCAAATTTGTTAGAGATCAGATAATTTAGAGATCATCAAGTACTCTGACTCTGATGTTGCATGATGTCAATGTAGCATTACCTCTACATCAGGTTACCCTTCAGTGTTGGGTAGAGTTCAAATCACATCTTGCTCTTCCTATTATCGTTGCAAAGTTTTTGTCACTAGAATGACATTGGTAAGTTATTAAAGGTTAACAGTGACAATAATTTGATAGTGATACACTATCATTACCATGGATTTCAGAAGTCAAATATATTGACATCAAGTTCCTGGTGGTTAAAGATAAAGTTCAAAAATAGACAAGTTTCTATTGAACATTAAGGAAATGACTAATGCTAGCTTATCCATTAGCCAATGGTTTGGCACATAAAGTTTTTTCATGAGCATATTGCTCACATGAGTGTTATTCCGGATGGTACCTTGGTTTAGTGGGAGTCATTTAAGTAGTTTAATAGATTATGACTAAATCAATTCTGCAGAATAAAGTGATGGTTTTCTAGAGTTTATTTTGGAATTTAAAGTGTCTTCAGTTATACAGTTGTCACATTGTATGAAGGAATTTCAGTTGATCTCACTAAGGACTAAAGTTGGACCAGTTGAAAATAGGCATGTTCAAGATCACATTGCATGTAATTTTCATGCCACTCATCCATATTTGATCTATGTCATTAAGTGTATTGGTGTGGTGATCATGGTGGTTTAGTCATTATCATATCGTGATTAAAGCCGCGTTGGTTCCATAGTTGATACATGAGGTGGACCAGATTGTCAAGGAGTAATTATCGTACGAATAGCTACGGTTGCGCGCCTATAGAATTTCGGAATATAAGTGTTCGTGAAATTAGACAGCCCAAGTGGGAGATTGTTAGGAATTTAAGTTCCTCACTTAAGTGTGCTTGCAAATTCACAACACATATATTAGCTATTTGGTTTTGATGGGCAAACT